ATAGGCTTGAGCCACTGTACCTGGCCAGTGGTATTGTAAATCATATCTCAAAGAAAAAGGGAAAAAAACAATATACTATTATACATTCCATTAGTCATCAAAGCAATAATGATTTCACATGTCATGTAGATACCACTCTGGATGGGAAAAGAGGAATAGTATCTTAACACTAATATGAAAACAGTTTCACTCCAAGACATCCCCCCCCCCACACACACACACACAAAAGGTCCCCAAACATAGTTTGAATATCACCGGCCTAAACTAATGCTCAGCACGAGCATTAGTGCTTAATGAATACGTAATGACTGATCAATTTTAATAATTAATTATTTAAACTACAGTAGCAAACACAATGACAAAATACAATCAGGTTTAGATATTCTCTGTAATTCATACTTTACATACTTGCAACATATTTTTGACAACCTATGTGATTATACAGAATTTAACACCCTTTGCATACTAAATTTTTTTTTTTTTTTGAGACAGAGTCTCGCTTTGTTGCCCAGGCTAGAGTGAGTGCCGTGGCATCAGCCTAGCTCACAGCAACCTCAAACTCCTGGGCTCAAGCCATCCTCCTGCCTCAGCCTCCCAAGTAGCTGGGACTATAGGCATGCACCACCATGCCCGGCTAATTTTTTTCTATATATATTAGTTGGTCAATTAATTTCTTTCTATTTTTATAGTAGAGACGGGGTCTCATTCTTGCTCAGGCTGATTTCGAACTCCTGACCTCGAGCAATCCGCCCGCCTCGGCCTCCCAGAGTGTTAGGATTACAGGCGTGAGCCACCGCGCCCGGCCTGCATACTAAATTTTGACACTCTAAGATTGAGGTACAACACAGTGTAGTGGTGAAGAGCTCTGACTCGACTCGACTCAGACACCCTAAGTTCAAATCCTGGCTCTGCAGCAAACTAGCTGGGAGATCTTGTCCTAGGTATTCAACTCCTCTACAAGTATTTTCCTCACCTGTAAATGAGGATAGTATCAAAAAGGTTATTGTGAGGACTGAGTTAATAATTAGCACATAGTAACTATACAGTAATTTATTATCATTGTAAATCAAATACCTATTTAAAACTATCAGATTGTGATATGAATAGGTGTGAATAACATACCTATTTCTTTTTGAAAGTACAGGATGTTTTGTACAAAGACTGAGATGTTGATCATCTTCGGTCTTCAATGCCCTAACCTACTGCTTTCTATCACTAAACTAGAAAACAGTCAACTGATCTGAGCCAAGGAGTGAAAAAACTTTCTGGGTAACCATAATGGTAATTTCTCCCAGAGGTAATTTTCTCAAAAGAATTTTCTAAAAACTTAAAAAATTCTTAGGTGGTAAGATTTGGATCACAGGATCTTCAAAAAAACAGTCTGGAATCCATAGAGGGAGAGTGGTATGGAAAAGAAGCTTGACTATCCACTGAAAACTGGGTTACAATGTGTTGGTAAGGAAGCCAAGGAGGAAGCAAGACTAAAACTAGGAGTCAGAAAACATAGTTCTAATCACAGTTCAACCACTATCTCACTTGGTGATCTCACAAAATAAAAATCCAAACAACTTAACATACATGGCCCTTCACAATTTGACTGCTACTTCCAATCATTTCTCTCACCACTCTACCCATATCCCCAACTCCTGCCACACTGAATTTCTCACTCTTCCCCACATACCAAGGTCCATCACAATGTATCATCTTGATATGTTACTCCCTAGGTCTGAAATGGCCTCCAGTCCAACTCTTCTTCACCTAGCAAACTCCTACTTATCCCTCAAGAGCTAGCTTCTTCCCTCTGAACTCCTATCATAATCTACTGTGTTGTAATTTATTGTATTATATGTAGACTCAATTCCTTGAAAGCAGAGTTTGTCTTCTATATTTTTGTCTCTCTAAAACCTAGCATTGTCTAGTATAAAGTACAAATGCAAATGTTTGATGAAATGGTTAAATGAATGAACAACTTTATACAGTTTCCCCTTCTACAAAATTAAGAAAATAGTTAACACATCTGAAAAGCAACATAGCATATACATTAGTAAAAGAGATCTATTTTGAAATCCTTCTAACTTTATGATCTTCAGCAAATTACTTAGCCTCTGTGAGTCAGATTCCTCATCTATAAACAGGTTTCATATGGTTGTTAACATTGAACAAGAGACAAAAATGCATAAACCTGTCTAGCACAGTGCCTGGAACAAAACAGGTACTGTAATAAATGTTAGTTCCCTTTTCTCTCCCCCTTCAACTCTCAGAATAATTTTAGACATCCAGTGAGATGATTTAATATGAAAATAATCTGAACACCATAAGACAACCACACAAATTAAATCTCTCACTTAGGAGGAAAAAAAATCTGAACTGTTAATCTTGTATTTATATACTTTTTCCTCTTTTCAGGTTTATAAGAAACACTTGAGAACATTACGCTGGTTTTTAAACATTTCCCCAAATTATGCAATTATCTAGGATTCTAGAATTAAAACAATTCAATTAGTACCATGTAAACAACCCTAATTCCTCTAAGATTAATAATATGTCCACATATCCTCCTTTGAAATATGGTATTCTTTTCCTTTACCTGGTTTAGGTCTTTCTAGAATTATTCTTTTTTAAAACATATTTCTATTTGCAACAATGACTTTGATTGAATTTTGTAACATTATTTTATCAATCAAGCATCTGCAATATATTTTAAAAAGGAAAACATCTCACTGAATTGTTATATCAAAATGATCTGATCTTTTTTTAAGGATAAACAAAATTTACTGGCATTAGCATTTACATTAAGTCCTGTTTATTTTCTGTCTCTGAAACAAGAAACTTCCAGCAGCGAATAAACTCAAACACCTTTCTTTACCTACGATCCTGATTTGACATTATATAAAGAACAAAGTAATTAATGGTACTTATTATGTATGTCAAGGTTAACTTTAAGGTCAAAAAAAGTTTTCTAATTACTTACTCTTACTAAAATGACCCTGCTCTGGGAACTAATAAAAATTCTCTTTAAACACCTTTTTGTTAATCAGAGATATTTATAATTACAATTATGGATTTTGGTTCTAAAAGGCCTAAAATTAAAATGTAGACACAGTACTGTTCTAGCTAAATTAACTAAAAATAAATGTAATTTTAGATGTGGTTTAGAATTTATAAAACTGAATTAAACTTATATGCATGATATCTTGTTAATTTATATAAATTACTAACAACTTGGCCTAGGATAATGAAAAGACCTTATATTTCCTTTCTGTATTTAGATGTTTGCTAGACTTAAAACATTAAATGTCAATAACTTTCACTTCCACTTCTGGATTATTTCAAGGAAGTTTCATTTTTTCATTTTCCACACTACCCAAAAGAAAAATTGCAAACAGCAGTAAAATTCAAGTACAAGAGTTTTTTTTTTAAACTTTCTTTTGTTTACACTAAATATATTTTTAAAGCATAAAATGATTCAAAATTCTTACCTTTCCCAAAGTATGTGGTTTCTAAGCAGCACTATTTAAAAATGTGTTTATAAAAGCAACAGAGCACACTAGACACTAATGAGTTCATTGATTATCTTAAGCACAGTTTTCTAAATTAATCGATATTTCATAATTTCACAAGTTGTGACTAATCAGTACTAGGATGCTGTGTAGTGCAGCAAATTCTAAGGAGACATACATAGATTCTGAGCCTAAAGAAAATTTCAACGTACACACACAAAGTCAACTTTTCTTTTTAAACTATCCCACAATTCAACACCCTGGTATGGCATTCTCTGTAAATTATTATATCCGGTTGGAATCATCCAATTTTATTAGCTGATAGTTCTCCATCACTTTAAAAACTGAAACAGCATATATGTATGGTATGTCCTGTTTCACCAAGTGCTACAAACATTTCGCTGCTACAAGACTTGGAGGGGAAAATCTTCGAAAATAAAAGGTAATCTGATCCACTCAAGCTAATTACTAAATGCATGCCAGCAATACACAATTCGAATTGCATTTCTGGACACTAAGAAGATCACAAAGGGAACATCAAATATGTAAGGAACTACTTTTGTATCAAAAAATATATCAAAACGAAGAAATGTGATATACTGAAACTAAGATATCACGGAAGCTACAAAATTCATTTAAGATTTGGTAATTTACTGAAAAGAAAATGTTTAATCAACGTTGTTAAAACAACAGTAATTCATCCCGTTCAAGTACGACTAGAAATCCCGCCGATATGCTTCTTTCAGGTCTAAATATCTCATTCTTTTGGAATCCAGATATCAATAGGATCTGAAACCTCTCACGGAGGCGTGCAACACACTCGGGGAGTGCTGTCTGTTTACAAATAGGAATCTCACAGTTACCCACGTCAAAAGCGCGCATTACCACCTTTCGACTAGGGGGCGGGGGGGTGGGGAGAGAAGGCGGGCAAGCAAGAAACGAAATCCACACAGACACCTCTGTCCTTTCCCTACATTAAAACATTATGTATTACATGTGAGCCCAGAGAAAACATTTATTACGTATTACATGCGCGTGCATATTTATATGTTATATACATATACACACACACACACATCTATATCTAAGCAAGGGTGAAAGAAAAGACACATATGACAGGAAATCGTACTGAACCCACCAGAATGCTCAAACTAATCCCGTTAACTCAAATCCACCTCACGGGTCTACAACAGGTTTCGGTCCGGGGCCGGAGCCCAGCCACTATGTGGAGTTCGTCCCCAAAGCGCCCCAATGCCCTCCTCAGGCCGCCCAGGCCGCCGTCCCTACCTCCCACGTCTCAGTCTTCCCCTGGGACACCCGAAGCCCGTTCCAGCACAGAAAGAAGTGTCAGGCCCCAAGGGGGTGGCTGAGACGCGCTCAGGCAGGGCCCCCGACACCTGCGAGGCTCGGCACCTGAGGAGAGCGAACTGGGGGCCGCCCGGCCTTCCCGAGCACACCCCCTCCGCACCGGGCGCTGCGCCGCAGCCGGAACCTCGGTACCTGCGAGGCCCGCGAGCTACAGGCGCGCGCGACGCCTCCTCATCTCAGTGGCTCCCGCTCCCCCTCCGCCTCCTGCCGCCGCTGCTGCCGCCGCCGCCGTCACCGCCGCCGCTGGAGGCCGGGACACGACGAGCTCAGGGCTCCACCGCCATGTCCGCCGCGCCGCGAACTGCATTGTGGGGGGGAAGGGATGGGGAGGGGGAGGGGGGAGGGAGAGAAAGAGGAGGACCCGCTGAGGGGAGGGGGCCGAGGAAGAGTGGGAGCCGTGGGAGAGGGGGAGGGGAGAGAAGGACAGAACCCTGAATGGGGTCCCGGACTGGAGGGTAGGAGACCAACGGGGAAGAGACCCAGGAGAGGAGACGCAGAGGAAAGGGTGCTGGGGGCCCCCAGGAACCAGTTAAACCGGGGCGGGGGGAGGAGGCTTGTGGTGGTCGCGAAGGAACAATGGGGAGAGGGCCGAGGTGGGAGGACGGCGCACTCACACCCACGCTGAGGGAAGGGGAGCGAGCGCGAGGACACTCGTTAGCCTGCGGGGAGGGGGCGGGGCCCCCAAGCGGAGGGGGAGGGTCGAAGTCACCCGCGGCTCGTGGGGAGGAGCGAGGCCCGGGAGGAGAGGTCGTGAGGTCCCGCAGCCCGACTGGGTGTCGCTGGGGAGCCGTGCGGGGTCGCCGGCGCGGCCGCGCCGCTCATGTCAGCCTCCTGGGCTCTACCCGGGAGCCCAGGCAGAAAGAAGGGCTCGAAAGCTGCCTTGGCGCCTCACTCTCAAAGCTGTTCCCCTGGGGAGGAAGCCCGGCCTTGGATGTGCACCCTCTGTCCTGGCACACGCATCGGGCCCAGCCTGAGCCTCAGCGGAACCTCGGCGGCCACTGCGGGATTCTGAGCGTACCCCCACCCGTCCCCCTGGGAGCTAGACAGAGGAAACCCCGAGGGTCGACCCCACTCGTTCACCGTTGCCACCAGCCCACCACAGCTGGACCTTTCTTCCTTTTAAAAGGCAGCCAATTCAGGAGTTAAGGAGTTCAAAAAAGAAATCTCTGGAGCATCCCACACACACACAAAAGAGATTTTATAAATCATTTATTTAGTTTCTGGCAGGTATAAAATCAGCTACCATCAATGGGCCCCCTCCACCCCTTGCTTTTAACTTGTTGCCTTCCTCTATGTAATTATTTTATTTAAAGTCACAATCAGAGAGGACTTCCGGTTTTGTTAGGTTTTTTTAAAAGACCCCAGCCTCAGATTATTCAGTCAACTTCAGACATCAAAGCTGGACAAATCACACAACTGTAGTCCTTGAGTTTGACACGTGCTGGGCAGGAAAAAGATACGACAAACAGTGGACATGGGGGTGAAAGGAAGATGCTAAATTTTAAATATTCACAAAATACTGCCTTATACCGTTTTCTTATAACTTGACTCGGAGGCTGGAACTGTTTTTTGTGTGTTTGTGACAAGGTTTTGCTTTGTTGCCTGGGTTAGAGTGCAGTTGAATGATCACAGCTCACTATAACCTCAAACTTCCCAGTTCAAGTGATTCTCCCCCCTCAGGCTCTGAAGTAGCAGGGAGTACAAATACAGGTGACCATGCCTGCTAATTTTTCTGTTTTTCTGGACAGTCCCGAGTCTAGCTATGTTGCTGAGGCTGGTGTTGAACTCCTGGCCTCAAGTGATCCTCCCACCTTGGTCTCCCAAATTGCTGGGATTACAGGCATGAGCAACTGCACCCCGCCAAGGCTGTAACTGTTAAGAGGTTACAGAGGAACACTCTTCTGTGTAGTCTATTTCACACTACACCTTGAATGCCTCTTATTTATCCATGTCCATCTGAATCCCAGGAGGTAATAAGCTTAGTGAGAAGGGACCAAGCATTGCCCAGTAAGTGGTTAGGCATTGAGCTAGGGACTTCACATACTATTCCATTTAATCTCCACAATTATCCTGTGAAGTAGTACTATTGCTCCCTTTTACAGATGAGAAAACTAGGGCTCTGAGAATGCATTTTACCCCTATCTGTGTGATGCTACAAGGCCCATGTATAGTGGATTTCAATTCAAAGGAGTACCAGATTTCAATTCATAAGAGCCCTGTCTGGTTTTGACATGTATCATGTGGATGACTTTGGGCAAATGTACCCTCTCGGTTTCCTCATCTGTAAGTTTTTTAACTGCATCTCAGCTTCACAGGGATGCTATAAGGAACACAGAAGGAAACAAGAATGAAAGCCTATAGAGACATTAAGATGATACTAACATGCTCTTCACTTGAGATATCAGTGTCCTTGGAGCAAGTTCAATTGAATAAACATTTCCTAATTACTTAAGAGCAAAGGCTTTGGGCTGGGCGTGGTGGCTTACCCCTGTAATCCTAACACTCTGGGAAGCCGAGGCGGGTGGATTGAGCTCAGGAGTTCAAGACCAGTCTGAGCAAGAGCAAGACCCTTGTCTCTACTAAAAAAATAGAAGGACATGGCGCGGCAGCTGCACGAGTACTAGGAACAGATGAATGTCAAGCTGGCCCTGGACATTGAGATTGCCACCTACCGCAAGCTGCTGGAGGGCAAGGACAGCTGGCTAGAGTCTAGGATACAGAACATGAGCATCCACATGAAGACCACCAGTGGCTACTCAGGTGGGCTGAGCTCGACCTACATACAGGGGCCTCACAAGCCCTTGCCTCAGCTATGGTCTGAGCTCCCTCCCGCCCAGCGTTGGCTCTGATGGGAGCTCTGACTCCTTCAGCTGCACCAGCTCCTCCAGGGCTGTGGCTGTGAAGAAGATTGAGACCTGCGATGGGAAGCTGGTGTCCGAGTCCTCTGATGTCCTGCCCAAGTGAATGGCCACTGCGCCCCTCCAGCCTACCCCCTTGAGTGGCTGTCAAAAAGCCTGTTGGGGGGTGGCAGCTGTGCCAGGGAATATAGGAGACATGAGACCCACCTAAGGCTCAGCTTCAGTCCTCATCCCACCCTTGGGGAGAGTTTACTGCCGGGAGTACCCCTTCTTACTTGTGCCCCCAACTAAAAACCAATTCAATTGCTGTTTCCAAAAGAAAGCCTCAGCTAGCTCTGCCAAAAAATAAAAAATAAAAATAAAATTAAAACATAGAAAGAAGTTAGCTGGACAACTAAAAATATATAGAAAAAAATTAGCCAGGCATGGTGGCGCATGCCTGTAGTCCTAGCTGCTCTGGAGGCTAAGGCAGGAGGATCACTTGAGCCCAGGAGTTTGAGGTTGCTGTGAGCTAGGCTGACGCCATGGTACTCTAGCCCAGGCAACAGAGTAAGACTCTGTCTCAAAAAAAAAAAAAAAAAAAAAAAAGAGCAAAGGCTTTGAGTTAGGTGTCTAGGAAAAAAGACAAACCACAGATTCCTATCTCCAAAAAGTTCACTGTTGGGGCTGGATGTGGTGGCTCATGCCTGTAATCCCAGCACTCTGGGAGGCCAACATGGGAGGATTGCTTAAGCTCAGGACTTCAAGACCAGCCTGAGCAAGAGCAAGACCCCATCTCTACCAAAAATAGAAAAACTTAGCCGGGCATGGTAGCACATGCCTGTAGTCCCAGCTACCTGGGAGGCTGAGGATCCCTGAGGAGGAGGAGGATTGTCTGAGCCTAGGAGTTTGAGGTTGTTGTGAGCTAGGCTGACACATGTCACTCTAGCCTGGGCAAGACAGTGAGACTCTTATCTCAAAAGAAAAAAAGAAAAGAAAAGAAAAAAAAGTTCACTGTTAAGCAAGGGAGGTGGTTCTATTAAACTAGAATAAAAGCAACAGGTCCTATGAACAGGGCTGGGAAAATACAGAGGAAAGCGTGATAAATTCCACTTGGATGAGGCTTCAGTGGAAGAGGTAGAAGCTGAACCTTGAAGATTTGCCTGCTATGTGCCAGACACATGTCTGTGATTCAGAGGATAGCATTTACTCTGGAGTGTGCAGAAGATAATGAGTCTGAAAAAGAAATTTGGGGACAGACTGAGAGTCCCAAAGCCTTTCTGCCCTTATCCCTTCCAGATAACTGTCTTCTACCACCCTTCCTCTTCCTCAAGACCCCGCTCAACTCCTGCCTCCTATATTAAATCTTTCTGATTACCACCCCTGTACTCCACCAAATGTGATCCCTCCATTCTCTAAATTCCTACTTATTACTTTTATAAGTCTGACCCCAATAGATTATAAACTTGAACACAAATATGAACATTTGTATTTGCTATAATAACTACACACTTGTTGAGTTGGAAATTTTGGCAACTATAATCTTGTTTATCATCACAATTAAGTACACATAAAGCCCATATTGTTCTGGGATGAAGAATGAGGAAATTTATGGCATATAAGGCTTAATTGGTGCCCAGGGTCATCTAGTAAATCACAGACAGGACTAGAATACCAGCCTGTGTTCTTTCCATTGAATCACAAACAGATTACTGAGAAATAATATGGTAAATGTCCGACTGTTCTGTAAAAATACTCTGAGGACTTATAACTGATACTTTCAAGGGAGATCTCATGATTGTAGTCAGGTCTCCAAATTTAGCCTTCCAGTCTGGAAGTTCTGGAAACTCAGTTTCATCCAAACTCAGGTGACAATTACTTGCAGAAAAAAATCTTATTTCATTGTCTCTAATGAGAAATATGTTGCTCAGTGGATCAATATCCACATTCTATTGTCTTCCTAGGAGATAGAAAAACCTAGTTTAAAAACTAATAATATTGTATGAAAAGGTGGCTTGGTACATAAGTTATATCAGAACAAGAAAGGTACCTAAGAGATAAGTCTGCTCCAACCAAGTAGATCTGCTGGTTGATCATAAAGGACCATGTATGGACATTTGAAAAGAGCAGACTTTGTATTGTAGTTATTGGGCAATTACTGAACATTCATGAGCAAAGAAGAGATATGATTAGATCTGCTAAAGTGTTTCTCTAAGCCCCATTTTTTTCCCATATACTTGATTTCTTCAAGGAGAGAGACTATGTAGGCCCTAGCTGATGATGATCTCCAGTCAAAGAAAGTGCATCACCCTTATTGGCTAGGACCAATAATGATGTAGTCGAACCCATATCTTCTTCACCTTTGTATTCCTAGCACCCAGCATAATCCTGACATATATAAAAAGCACCCAGAAATTACTTGTTGACATTCTAAGTCATCCATAAAGCAGAAGATACGTTCAAAGTTTAAAATTTTGTGCTTCTTACAAAGACCATGACAATACCAAAACTCCTAAGGTATGTGCTCACCTCAAAGATAGTGTAAAGGATCTATTTCTCTTTGTCTTTTTGCATTCTTAAAATTAAATACCATGTGCAGCATGTTAACAATGCCTGTTTTGTAGTAAATGTTCCACAAAAATGAGTTCCCTTTCTTCTTAAAAATCATTTCTTCTCATCTGCCTCAGTTTGGATTTCATATGCCCTTAGACTCATGCTAGCACATGTGTACACTTGCTACCCATTGATTCCATTTAATCTGTCCTGATGATTACATGTGTGGAATTTTAAGCTACAGCCACATCCCTTAGCTTACTTACTTGAAACATT